TATTAATTATGGAACAGGCATGGTGGCTTGATTTTTAACCGATTATAGCAGGTTATCGGTTTTGACAGGATCGGTTTTGGGAGGGTTGACTGTATATATATGAGCATTGCCAAAGGAAAATAAAACATAAAATCCACATAAAAAAATTTTTATTAAATTTGATCAAGTGGTTGTTAAGATATCTTTAAAAAATTTTATAGTATAATGCCGGATGTTCCCTTTTCCCTTGGCAGCACTCATATAAAGATTTTTTCAGATAATCAAACTTACTAGATTACACATGATGGTTTGTATCATATATAATTTATAATTTTTGTAAATATAATTTACAATGCTTATTCTTTAAATACATGTTTCTTTGATTCTACTACCATTGAAATCAGAAAAGCCTACTTTACAACTTTTATTAGAAATTTAAAAATAATTTATTTAACAAAATTTACTATGTTTTATATAATTTACTAGTAACATATACTATCCTTAAATTCACAACCTTTTTACTGTAAATACATTTCACAGTCTTAGAGGAACCATTGGAGGCATTCCATCATCATCCCTGGGGCTGCGAACAAAACCACGAACTCTAGCGGGTTTTTCCTTTTGCTTAACGGTTTGATTCGATTCGTTACAAATTGGACATCTTGACTTAGGCGCCATAGATTGAAGAATAGTTACATGACGAACTTTTGTGCCAATTGAATGTGGTTTATTAAAGTTTTCTGGCAGTTTCGGAATTGCATTGCTTTCAAAAAGACATTTTTCGTGGAAAGTATGACCACAAAAGAATATTAAGTGTGTTGAAGCAGAATCGAACGCAATGGCTTAAAAAGAAAAATAAAACGAATTCATTATGTTAAAAGAATGTATCTTGCGAATCATGAAACAAAATCTAGTGTATTTAATTTAATGTTCATAATTACCATCTTTGATTATAGGTGCCGAGCAAATACTGCAAATCATATCGTCTTTTAAATGCATATATTCATTGTATTATTTTGTATAGAGTGAATTAAGTAATTATGTAAGAGAAATAATTAGATATAGAACTGTACCTCCACATGAAATCCCACGTTTTTGTGCTCGATGAAGCTGACAAGCCATGGACACACTGTCACTCACTAATATTGTTTGACATCCTTCTCTTAAAGACGCCTATATCACGAAAGCGATTATTTTATGTAATTTCAAGTGATAAATTGCAATATATAAAATGAGTTTAAACCTGTAAATTAAAGTCTTGAAGGACTTTAATTAAAGCTTGCTTAAGTCCAACGATTTCTAGGCCATCAGGAATTCTTTCGAGAAGTTTTATTGGATCAATGCTAATGTTACCAAGATTCTCCAATAAGCCAGTAATAAAGGCTGTTATACACGTAAGAATAATGTTATTTTTAAACAAAATGATATACTAATACAAACACAGTCTAATTATCTGCACACATACGTGGCTTGTCTAACGAATATTTCAATAAATCTTCCCATAGTTTATCGTCATCTTGCTCTTTAGCAAAATCAATTGCCTAAAGGTTCATAGAAAAAAATAGTTATATAGTTTAATAAATAAGCCATTATGATAATATAATTATTTTATTTACTTACACGCTGAACCTCTCCTAATCGTTCTATAATCAACATTAAAGCCTGTTTATTATTACCCATACGACCAAGAATAAAAACCATTTCCGGAACTAGATCTCTTTGTTTACAGATTTCATACGCCTGTTTTTTTAATTGTTGAATTTGTTAAAAAATCAATAAATACAATTTTATTATACCAACTTTAAGCACATACCTTTTCTAGATGGTAGTAATTGCTGGCACGCAAAAAGTCTATCAATCTTTGATAATCATACTCTGCATATAACTCTACCTAAAATTTTAACGTGGTAAATAACCTTTATATCATGAAATATAACATTTGAATAGAGTAAGGATGGTAATATTATAAGCCTACTTGAAGGTCGTGGAATTCAAATCCCATATGATGATCTCGAGTAAATAATGCATCCAAATATATGTGCAAATAATGACGATGGGATCGTAATTGACTAACAACATGACTAATCTATTTTAATATAATGGTTAATGTTAAAGTTTATAATATTCAGAAATGACTTGAAATTTAGATAATAAATAAGATTAAAACACACCGGAACTGAATCAGTATTTTCAATTAATAATTGTACTGCTGGCATATTCTTTGCTTTGACTTGTGATACACCAAGCATGTAATTTGGTTTATCCTTCGTCTCATTTTCCTTTTGGGCCTCTGACATAAGATGCTGATCAAAGTCTAACAAAAGAATTACTTTGTCTTGTACAGCTGAGAATAGATTATAAGTTCTTATTAACTCAAAAACGCCTGGTCTACGCAAACGAAGATTATATTCAAGTGCTTTTTCAGGTTCACGGTTGTAAGCATATCTATAATGACAAGGTATAGTTAAAACCAGTAATATAGTAAAAATAAGTTAAAGAGCACTATTCCTTACAGTTCAGCCAAGCATTCCATTAAAGTTTTATTTTCAGGTT